CTGTTGTATTTGGGGCTGTATTGACAAATAGCTCATTGACAAACTCCAGCATATTCAAGTCAACTGCTAGAGATGGCAAAAGAGGTGCACAAGGAAATAAACCCTGTTGAAGCAGTTGAAGAGCTGGTGATGTGCAAGTACAGAGCATAAGAGTCTCAATTTCTGCAAGAAAAATTTCAAAAGATTGAAACCAAACAGTAAAAGAGATCAACATACTTTCAAAAAAAACACATGAAACTTTCAAAGGTCTTCCAGAATGACAACCAGTACACCCAAGAGCCAATTTGGTGTCAGGCATATTTCGCAATGAGTCTGTGTCTCTCAAGAGTTTCATATACAGTTCCATAAGAGCAGGAAGGATTTCCTGCTCCCATCGTTGAAATTGATGTTGTTTTTTACCTTGGTAATTTCCATCCACATTAACAGTTGTTGCTAAAGCTTGGAAAGTGTCTTGGTCCATCTCCTGAAAGGAATCTGTATGCTGCACAAGATGGCCTTCAGGGATATATATGTTAGCGTGAGGCTCAGATGTAGGATCACCCGTGCCATAAGCTCTACGTGTTTGGAAAGATCCAGATGGAACAAGTTGCCGAGGAAGCTGTGGACGGGCCTTGACCAGTTTATGCTTGAACATGTTAAAGGAGACTCAGAGGGGCGGGTGCAAGGGAAGGAATGAAACATCACTTCATTACCTTTATTATCTGACCAGCGTGATCGGCCGATAACTGCCATTCCCATGCCAAACGTCCGTACGTGTCAAGATTCATCAACAAAAAAACACTGCTACGGTCCGTACAAAAACTACCGAGTCCTACGTATATTCTGTCATGATAAAAAGTCCGTGTCCACCGCTAAGCCGAAGATGATGTGTTGTTAAGGAAAGGTGCTTGATGTGGTGTGCACGGGGCCCGTCCAAATGTATCGAAGAAGGTTTGGCAGTAAAGGCACACCACCATTCGCTCTGTCTCTTCAAATCGAGTCTGTGTGGTGTCCGAAGAAATATACTGTGCCTTCAATCGCCATGCAGCTTCGCCCAGCCATCCCACCATCAACCGCCGCAAGGCCTCCACACAATTCAAACGATCCCTCCAGTTCCCAGCTGCCAGCCCTTGATTTAGCCGTCGTTCCGCAACAAGTAGGCCATCACTGTCATCAGGAAAAACATGGCGAATCAGATCTTCACGAAGACCTGCAGCCGAATCGGAGGCCCAGGCCGCAGGCAAGAGCAGGCAGTCAAGGTGGCGAATTTCATACCGAAAGTTTTGCTCAAAGGCGTTCCAGATGACCTGCGCCATTATGGGTGCAGAGAGAAGGTCAGAGTCCCCTTGCATGACAGCCACATCGC